ATTTGTAGTCTCAGAATCGATACGAAACACTAAGAGATTAATCGAAAACTTAGCGACCATTCTGAGATACAACCAAAATGTACGATCATTTCATTAACTATACAAGGGAACGGATGTGGATTACCGGTACTGATTTCAGCTCTTAAACGAGGCTTTAGAACTCTGCTCCTGATCACTAGGCAAGTTCCAAAGTTGGAATAGGAAGAACACAAACAAGGCGAATGTGACCATGGAGAATACCCCAATAGCAATTAGGCGGTATGTGACAAAGTCAAGGCGGCGATGGGAAGTTTCTGCATCACCTGCCCCAACCAGCATCCTGCGGTATAATGCTCGCTCCTCAGCACGACGTCGCTTACGAATTCCTCCAAGTCGTTCTATCTCACACTGCACCACCTGAAACGTAATGGTATGCTATTCGAACTACATGATTTCAGCTTAACGAAAGCGTAGAAATTGAAATGACAGAAATTATGAGAGAGATTCCAAAGGGGTACAGCCGATAATTTGCAATGCGGTAGTAATAGATTAATATCATTTAACTTATGCTGCAACCAAAAAACCCATACAAAATGTTCTGAAAAAAGTTTTTGATCTGGACTGTCAATGAAGGCAGAGAGGGAAAGCTATGTCAGTGTAAAAAGGATAAACAGTTAAAATTTCGAGATTTAAACAAGATAGGGATTCACACTTTAAACTCTGTCTTAAACCCATTTTTGAAAAACAAAGAAGGCAATTTGCAAATGAAGATGGAGTGATAATCGTGTACCAAATTACTTCAGGAAAACAAATTAAGAGGCATGATAAATGGGCAATATAGGAAAAATGAAGCAATAGACAAAAAAACTTACTGCATCATGGGGATCTATTTCAAGTGCACGTTTTAGGCAATCCAAAGCTTCCTCAGTATCATTACGCACTGAAAGGGCTGCAGCCCTTCGAAACAAAGCTTTGGTATTCGCCTCATGTAAGCGCAAAGATTCGTCTGTGCATTTAAGGACTTCTTCCCATTCTTCAAGCTGTAGGACTTATATAACCTTTATAAAAGCGTATGACCAAAAGATAATAAAGAATGCCCATCCAACCTTTGCATAGCAAACAGCGAGATTGGAGTGAAGAGCCGAAAACAGTTTACACAGTGCTTCACTATTTCTTGGAACGTCAACGACAGCTGAAGCTCTGCAAAGCGTGAAGAGCAGCAATAAGTCTCACTGAACCCCTCAATGGTTTCATTTGAATATTATAATATTTCAAGGTGACCCTTGTGTCATTAAAATCATTTAGTACAGTGAGTCACAGTTAGCAAACAACATAGAAGAAGGATCGATACTAATAAAAGACCTTTTATAAACAAAGATGGCCTTCTCATATTCCTTTCGGTTGAAGTAAAAGTTCCCTCTATCCTTTAACATAAGGACAAAATCCGAAAGCTCCTCTTCTGACATTGTTGTGTACTTGGGCGATTCACCAATATCAAGAAGTTCAATCTGAACGCCTGCTTTGAAAACTGAAGCAGGAAATCAATTTTGATTTTAAACTAACTCGATACTCCTGATCTTGGTTTTGAGGGATAATGTCACCTAAACCGCATTCACCGTATGCCAGATGTGAGTTCACTCGAATCTCAGACACTTCATCTACATACATCAGCTTTGTTACAAGTTCCCAGGCTGAAAGAGGGGTTATAAGCTGGGAACACATGACAACAAATATTTCTACTATAAACTTACCGTCGATGACCATACTAAAACCAAGTATGAATGTGAGCCGATCATGAGAATCCACTCCTCGCAACGTGTCTACCACCTAAAGAACACCTACTATCTGGAGTTACACGAAGATTCTAATTTCAGCCACCGGTGTTCATGTATATCACATCTAGAAGATATAGTAGTCCTTTCTAGAAAAAAA